TGTGCCATCTGATTATAGTATTATCGTGCGTACTGACGATATCTGTCCAATTTCTTTTCAAGTAAAGATCACCTACGTAGTGCAGTTAATCGACTGTCCAAAAAAAGTTCGTTTTTTGATTTTCAAAGCGGTCCTACTTTCCAAAAATTTTCTACAAACTGACTTGTTTGTTCGAAAATTCATTTAACTTGTTTATTTTCGCTACAATCAAAGCGATTTTCATATACTCCTATTCCGTCAAAATTAAAATAATTTTGTACGATTTTTTCAAGCCTTTCACTATAAATCTGACTTTACTATTATTTCAAAGCTGCGTTTATGATATTAATTTAACGATTCTCGGTCACTATTTAAAATTTGCATTGAAATGCACCTGCATTGCCTATTCTAGTAAGCATTTCGTGACAAAAAAGGAATATTTTTTAATTTCACGTATTTCATGAGGAATTATTGAATTTATATTATCTTGTCCTATTCAGATTCCTGGAATCCAATAATAAGGGCATATGCAAATTCCTGACTTTGCTAAGAGTAGATAAGAAATTGTTTCAATAATGTCTTGAGATAAGAGTGGAAGCTCTTTCACACCTAAAAAATTTTTTAACGAAAATTCATTCTTCATATTTATCAAAGTAATTTTTGTTTTTCCATTTGCTATAGTTAGTCCCTCTGCACTGCTTATAGCTATATTAGACGTTGAGTTTTTTGCTCCAATTTATTTTATTATGTCGGCTCGTAGTATTATTAATGTAAAGCTTTCGTAAACATAAACACTAATTTCTTTGGAAACGTGGACGTAATGTGGACGCCATCTAGCGGATCCTACTGAACTAACGGAAAAAGCCAGCATACTTTTGCAAAATTTTAAGCTTATTTATTGCTATTATTATAAATTTTTCCAAGATAAAAACTATACTTAAACAATCTAGGAAGTGTTAATAATCAGTATGCAAAATTTCAGTAACATCAGTTGAGAGGTTTTCGTGGGTAGCAATTACAACTTTGCTTTATATGTTAGTAAGATCATCTTACTTTTTCGTGATGCTACAGTTTTGTGTTATTATAATTATTATTTGGACTTTTAATTATTTACAATAAAATTAGTTGATAAATCATTCAGATATTATTTTTTAATTTAATGACATTAGTAATAAGATTTTAATCATAATATTTGTGTCATTCACAACTTCAATCTTGCATAAGTCTTGATTTGGTGCATAATAGTTTCTTATGATAAACGTAAGGCTGTTGTATCTCAAATTTTTTAAAACAAATTGCAGAAAAATAATTCTAGAGGTTTGAGCTTCCTGATTTACCACAATGTTCTAAATGTATTTGAAACGATTGTATTGTACATTTTAAGAGTGTAATTTGACATTTAAATGCCATGATTATTAAATAGATTAGCAAAAAAATTCTGGTTCAAAACAGCTCAATCATTTCGTAATTATAAAAAAAAATCTTATCGATCAATGAAAAATAAACTGTGCATCAGCCTATAACATTACTTATTTGTAGACAAAAAAAGTATTAATCATATGAGAAATCTAATTTTAACTGTAGTGTAGCTATTGTAAAACCCAGTTTTATAAAATTGCAGTCACACTATTTTGTGTTCGTTTTTAATACATTACGAAAATATTTTGTTAAAGTCTATGATCTAAGTAAGAAGTAATTGAGACTCATGTAGGTCAACGTCAAAAAGCAGTATTTTGTCTCTGCACCTGCTTCAGCCACTTTGCCGCAAGAAAGTACTCAAATGAGCAGCAAAAAGCGAATATTAATTTCTAATTTTATTTTTAAGAACAAAATAAACAATAAAATGCAACAAAACTAACAACATATGTGATAGTGAATTATTAATTTATCAACTGGTTTTATTGTTTTTTGTTGTGATACATTACAACGAAAAAAAAACACATTACACCTAAGAAAACAAAATTTAAAAAAACAGATGGTGAAAGAAAAAGAATAAGTTTTTAAGTACGATAGTTAATATGGTGGTATTATTATGAGTAGCTTTACTGGCATACCAGAAGGTTTTAAGTTTACCTGTAAACAGTTGATAATGTAAAGAATTTCTTATGCCTGCAAAGTTTATCAACATATTCAGAAAAATGAAATATAACAGAGAAAGTTGAATGACTGTACATACTTGTAATCACAAAGAAAAAAACTAAGGTGTATATTTTATAGATCCTTAGTCAAAGTAAAGCCTACTTAAGGTTATGATAAGGTTTCATGTTTTACAAATTAAATCTTGTTTATGTAATCAGTCAAGTTATTATATATTGACCTCCTCCATCTAAATTGTGCTATCTATATTTTTTCGTAAATATTTTAATTCATAGAAACGTCCTGCTCATTTTATAGTAAAAATCGCTGGAGTGCAAAAAACTTTGTCAATTAAAATTACAATGCAGTGAGAAAAGGTATTCACCTTGGCCAAGATTTAAACCTGGGCCTCCTTCTTGTTGGGAAGTCACATTAACCAACTTCGCCATTGAAGCCTTGGTGGACACCCTTCTTTACTGCTTTGCTTATGCGTGTCTTAGGTCGAACGCCGATGTCATAGATATTGATGCTATTACTCGATGGGTAAGTATTGTACGTAATTAGTCAAGTTATTATATATTGACCTCCTCCATCTAAATTGCGGTATCTGTATTATTTTTTAATATTTTAATTTATAAAAACGTTGCGCTTATAGTAAAAATCGCTGGAGTGCGAAAAAACTTGGAGAAGGATATCTGCCAAAGCTTTGGTTGCAAAGTTTGTTAACGCACCTTTCCAGCAAGAAGGATGCCCAGGTTTGACTCCTGGCTAAAGCGGATCCATTTTTTTCGTTGCTTTGTAATTTTAATTGACAAAGTGTCTTCGTGTTACGTCTGAACTTCTATAAGTGAAGGATGAAACTTGTAGATTTGTTCTACAAACAATTAAATTTAATTTCTTTGTTCGTCAGGAACCAACTATCGGCCCAAAGGCCTTATTTGCTTCTACTTACAGTATACATTACATTGAAATCGTTGATTCTGCGTTGTGGTGTTAGGTTTTACCAAGCGATATGTATGGAGTAATGAACACTGAGCTGGTATTGAATTATTGTTAGAGTTTATGTCTTATGTCAAATGCTAGTAGCGTATCTTATTTGTCTTTTTATCTTACGTCCTTGTAAAGGTGTTTGTCATACAGTATCTTTTTTTTTCCTCGATGTTTAATTTGTTCATTAAGGTAAAAATCATGTGTCGATCAATTAGAATTATTAGATCTTGAAATATTTCATATAATTTAGTTATTAAAATGTTTTTGAATTAAGAAAATTAATTCAATCAATAACCAAGTTATGTTTTATCTAATGATTGAATAAATTTAGAAAATACAAAAATTGTTAACTTTACAAATAGTATAATTGATCAAGTTTCAGATTCGTATTTACAATGTTATACGATTTATAGTTTTCTTAACCTAACTTACTTCTATGATCATTGGTTAACTACTGCTTGCGTGTACGCAATCATAAAATCTTACAAGGTTGACCGCAACAATATTCTTAATCCTACATGAGATCACTCGTGACAATGCCAATAATAAGGCTTCTACTTTTAATGCTGGAACCCAAGTCGACGGTCCTTTCTTTTTTGTTTCTCCTTTACTTTTTAGGTGAGCTTACGGTGGCCTAGTTTGCTCGAGCTTTTCTCACACAGCTTAGTCACCGAACTAAGTCTTACATTTGCTTGAAATGCACGATTTGAACACGTAGCTTAATCACCAAACAAAGTCTTACATCCGTTTAAAACACGCAACAGAACTCACTCTCCAACCTTCATAGTTACTTTGGAGGACTTGATAAAAGAGAAAAGGCACATATTGTTATGTGTGAGAAGTTTTTATACTCTTGCGTTTAAGGAGGACGCGTTAAGTAACGGATCCAAACGACCAATCAGAGATTAGCCTAATTACCCTTGACTAACACAAGCACAGTCGTAGTGCAATAATTTCACAGTAATTAATGGTTAAAACTGCTGATCTTTCAAATTTTACATTAAGTATAAGTTGCTGTTAAAATTGTGTATGATATTTTTTGTGTACATCCACAGTAAAAGATGTTGACGTTGTTATTTGATCACATTGTTTTGTGTACTTGTGCGAATTAATTTTGTAAGATGAGCGTTTTATAAGATTGTTTGAGTTTGCACGCATAGTTCGAATTTTTTTAAAAGAAGTAAGTTAAATGTCATGCGATTGCAGAATCAGGTATACCGCTTGACGTTTCGAGATCGCTGAGCTTTTGCTTTTTATAATTTGAAAACGAGACTCTGTGTTTTAAAGTAACAAATATTAAGTATATAACATGAGATGTCACATTCACACTTCAGCGTATTTCACTATAAAAATAAGCGCGACGTTTCTATAAATTACATTATTTAAAAAAAAATATAGATAGCGTAATTTAGATGAAGGAGGTCAATATATAATAACTCGACTGATTACATACCATACTTACCCATTGAGGAATAACATCAGTAAATATGATATTGGTGTTTGACGTAAGACACACCTAAGCAAAGCAGTGGAGAAGGGTGTTCGCCAAGGCTTCGGTGGTGAACTTGATTAACGCACCTTGGCTACTGTAATACTTAAAATGTATTGGTTTTAAAGATCTCTTTCTGAGATTTCGTGAAAATCTACAAAAATAGGATTTTACTAGTATTTGAAAAGGTCACGTAACGTCTCCATAGAGAGACTACTAGGACGGTATAATATTTTGCTTGTCTTGCATACGTAGATGCGTGTGATTATACAAACATACACACTAACCCACACACACACATACGTACACAATATTCTGCGTAGAACTACTAGTAAACTTATTTTAGCTAAAAAAGTTAACATAGCATGGTTTATCTAATAATTTAAAGCTAAAATTTGTCCTTAATTATAAGACGTAACAAGATAGTATTGAATCAGATAAAAAATAATCACTTACTCTTTCACAGGTACACCAAGAAGTTTTTCTGCTCGAGTATTGGGAATGGTTTGGGCTGGATTTGCGATGATTATTGTTGCCTCATATACAGCTAATTTAGCAGCATTCCTTGTATTAGAACGTCCGAAAACAAAGCTTACAGGAATAAATGATGCCAGAGTAGGTAACTTTATGCCATATTTTCTTTGTTACAATGTAAGGAAAAAAGTTTTTATTTATAATTTGAATTCAAGGGCTGTAGTTTTTCTATAAGAACTCCAAATATTATGTTGCAAAAATTTATAAAATTAGTTTTGTTTTTATTGTATTCGCATTTTTTTAAAAGCTGTACAATTAGGAAACAATAAAAATAAAGTAGCAAAGGAGTACTATGAGGAACTTTTGAAAAAAAGATGAAGCTTTAGTCTTCATGCTACTTCTCACTTTATTCGGAAATTCCAATTTCCAAGAAGCTAAAAATACGTTGTCATGTGTGTCTTTTCTGTTTGTGTGCCTTACACATGTATCAAAGTTGAATGTGGGTAATGGAATGTTATTCACTAAGCTTACACACAAATATAAGCAAGAAAATTGTTGTAATTATGAAAAACGTGTGTCCTAAGTTCCCAAATCAACATTTTGCCGCTATAGTATCCACCACGAAATGTTGTGCTTAAAGGCACTTGTTGAAGTGGGCAACTTTAAATAACGGGAGGAGTAAAAGAGAGTACAGTTGTCTTGGGGAATAACGAATAGTTAACTAAGCTCAAACAGGGATAACAGTTCTGTGGTGAGAGATGCGGGAGTGGTGTGGCGTCTGTCTTTGCCAGATTTCAAACTATATATATGTATGTTTATGAAGAGGTGACTTATGCGGAAAATCACATGTATATAAGGGTAATTATGAGGACAAAAGTGGAATTATTCGGTTGTCCGCATAATTACCACTGCTGAGAATTTTGGTTTAACCAAACGATGGATAATCGGGCTATCTATAAGATTTGCATGACTTAGGTAGATGCTTTCAAGTTGTTGCTTAGTCCTTCTGATACACTAAGAGTTGCTTCAATACTTGCGGTGTTCTTTAGAAACTAAGACTCAATATCCAGCGTGTGGTTGGCTGTACGATGAGACATCAAGTTTAAGATTTAAACAGGAACCAATGTTTAAAAATTAATGCCACGTGAAACGATTAAAATTAAAAATTAATAATTAAAAAAAAATTAATTACTTAAAAGATAATACCAACGATGGTAACAGTTGTTTTTAGAAAGTTAGCAACAAACCCAATTGTTACTACATGTAGTAGATTAGTGTGTTTCTTAAAATCAAGTTATGCTGCCAGCAGTGTGTTCTTGGGTACTGGTATTTTCTGAGTTTATTGTTAACCATAATCACACCGTTTAATGGGGAAAATGATAACGTATGGCCATCTCTCCGACCATCGACTCACTATTAACCTAGCTCAAAAGCATACCTACATGAAATGTGCTGCTGGTCAAAAGATAGTCGGAGTAGTAAGCGTATAAACAAACTGTCTTTTAAATCTATGTAAAAAATGAGCCACACGATGTATTGACAATAAAATTACATACCACAAAATGAGTTTTAACGAAAGTGTCAAATAAAAGGACTCTTAACACAATCAATTATATTGAAGTACCAATATCATCTGGTTGAAAGGAAACAAAGCATTCTTTTTCGGACTTTCGTTGATAACAATCTATTGATCCAAGACTTAGTTGTTTTAAAGGAGTTAGTACTTAATAATTACTTATTGAAAATACACTTTTTTCGTAGTGTTGAATACAAAACTGCTTAATAATAACACAAGTACCTGGTATGTCACTTTTTTGGTTATGGCAAACAACAAATAGGGAATAATTGTAAAAATGACATAATTATTTGATAATTACTATTCAAAATACATAGATTTTATTAATTTACATCTTCACACAAATAAAATTAAGGAAAAAATGACGTAGTAAATTCAAATGTATATAATAACTAAACTTTTTTTTTCTTTATGTCAAAAAAAAATCTGTTTATCGTCTGTAGATTACAAAATTAGCGCTCACAATTGTACGAAAAATAGTATGTATAAACATAACATCATACATGAGAAATTTGAAAATTATAATATTTTTAAAAAAGTGTGTTCAGTTGGACATAATTTTAAACTCTTTGTAAAAATTATCTTTGCGTAAGTTTAATTACTGTAATCAACGCTATGCAGCTTTTAGCACGAGTTTACAGATGGCCAAAACTGACCTAAATGATGTACCGTATACATTCCAATAAAAGTTATCAGCAGAAAGTTTAAAGTTTGTGAGGAGATCCATTTTTAGTTTTGACTTACACGTTCCAAAAAAAAAATTTTTTTTCCCGAGGCACACACTTAGACCAATTGTTTTCTCACTTGACATACCTTCAAAAATAAGAAAAAAATTGTGTGCAAACATTTAAGGGCGTGTGACACTATTTTCCACCCCACTAAAGATTTAAGGAAGTGATTGTCTAAAGCAAAAGAGCCAAGCTAAGCTGAAAAATGTTGGAAACTGATTAAATCGTACCGGGTTTAAAAAGCAAATCATTTTCCCGCATTCTGTAGACGTTTAAAAACATGAATTACCCCCAACCTATGCATAACTTCGATATACAAACAATTTAGTATAAATTGACTTATCTAAAGCCTCCTCATGCATTGCAGTACCAACAATTGGTGTGAAAATGAATTATTTCATCTCGGAAATCATCTCTTCAGAGTTTTTGAAATCACTGATCACGGATTGGAGGTCTATTTGAAAGCAAGGGTAGTTTCAATTACCCAAAATTACCCCTAGTTGCAGGAAATCATTAAAAAAATCTATAATTCGATTTTTGGAATCATTTCTCAGGAGATTTCCAAGCTTGCTCTTCACGATTCCAAGGTTGATTTGTGCTCAGAGGTAGTTTTAACCCCTAAAGCTACCCCTACTTCCAGAAAAACTTAAAAATTTGATTTTACCTTGGAAAATCTTTCTTGGGGAAACATAGAGAGCTTACTTGTATATTGTTGAATGAAGAAGTTAAACAGCATAAAAACTACCCCGGCACACAAATAGATTTTAATTTTATGATGAGCGACCTCGAAAATCAGTAAGAAACGATTTTAAAGGCAAAATTGTGAATTTTTTAGTCATTTAGAGATAAATAATTATTTAAGGGGTTGAAACTACCCCTGCGCCAAAATGGACCTCGAAGTCGTGATGAGTGACTCAGAAAATGCCCTGAGAAATAATTTTTGAGACCAACTTATGGATTTTTTAATGATTTACTGCAACTGGGGGTAATTTTGGGTGGTTGAAACTACCCTTGCTTTTAAATAGAACTCTAATCCGTATTCAACGACCTTAAAAACCTCTAGCTGAGGACTTCTGAGGTAAAATAATACATCTTCGCACCAATTGTTGGTACTGCAATTTATGGAGAAGCTTTGGATGCGTTAATTCACCCTAAATTGTTTGTATATCGAAGTTATGCACAGGTTCGTGGTGATTCATGTTTCCAAACGTCTACAGAATGCGGAAAAAAAAAATTTTTTGGAAACCTGGTACGATTCAATCAGTTTCCGACATTTTCTTGTTTAGTCCAGCTTTTTCACTTTAGAAAATGAGTCTCTTTAATCTCTAGTGGGGTGGAAAATAGTGTCACACGCCCTTTAATTCTTGCACACAATTTTTTTCTTATTTCTGAAGGTATCTCGAATGAGAAAACAATTGGTTCAAGTGTGTGCCTCAAAAAAATTCTTTTTTTTTATTGAAACGTGTAAATCCAAATTAAAAATGAATTTTTTCATATGTATCTGCAGATGACCAAAACAAGCCTATAAAGTGATTTGTGCCATTGTACTTGCGATTTTCAGTAAACGTATTGGAAGCTTTTAAAACCTGTCGTAAATTCTTGGCTTAGTACTACAAGTTTATTATACACTTTAAAATTATTTGTCGATTGTCTGTAAAATAGTACATTCTCACTGACTAAAGCTACTGTTATAAATTCCAGGGATGACCTGAGTTTACATACTGTGCTACTCTAATTGAAAGAATGCGATGAAACTAAAATCTTCCTAAATTCTGTTTTAATAATACTAAGGCACTATACATGTACACTTGTAAATTCGTTAATTGCGTTCTCACAACATAAGGAAGTTGTATTCACCTATACTTAACTGTGAATGCTTTAGATAGTAGTTGGTGACAATCTGAGATGTAATCACCTGAATCTTGTTTCAGGCAAATATTTGGCTTCCTTTGCAGTTCTAAGCCAACCTATAAGCTTATAAGCAAGTTATTATAAGTATAAGTTAATACATATACTAAAGTTTTTTAAAAACTATTTAATTGAAACAAACATTGGAAAATACTCTTCTTAACTAGTATAGGAGATTGTAAAGAACGTTAACTTGAGGACATAAAAACATAATTAAATGTTATTTTATAAAGTTTTGTTTCATTCATTGTATTTTTAAAAATTAAAAAAGGAGCTCTTTTTTGTGCTCGATTGAAGAAAAAAATTGTTGAATGTAAAAGAGGAATATCGTATTCAACGTGCTTCACATTATCATTCGTGTAAGTTAAAATAAAAATATCAAGACAAATAAACTATAAAATTATCACACAAAGTTTATCTAGTTCTTTATTTTTAAATGCATAAAATGAACTTTCACTATAAAAATACAGTCAAGAAGTCATGCTTTTCAATCTTTTGCATAATTTAAATTATGTAAGATATCTTAGCTGGGTATCGAAAATTTAGTGGTAGTGAGATTTTTTTATACTATTATACAAAGTACTTTTATACAATTACTTGATAATTTTTAAGTTACTTTTCGTATAGATACAAGAATCGTGGTAGAAACCATAATACTTTTTAAGAAACGTCAGAGATTTTCGGATTCATTGAAGATAGTTTGAATACAACCAGTATTGGAGACTGTAAAAAGTGTTATCTTAAGAACACAAGAACATGTATTTTCTTTACACAGCTTTGTTTCACGTATTCTGAATTTTTTTTTTTTTTAACTGTTTGAAACAATTAAGTTAATACTTATGTAAAGATGAATCATCGTAATAATATAAAATAAATACAAACATTTATTACCATTTTAATAATTTTTTTTTTTAATAAAGCATGTAAAT